ATTCCACCGCCCGGAATGGCTTTCTCCTTCCTCTCTTTGCATCTCCACTCACAATTTAGACTTCTCCAGGAGCCCTTCTCGGTGCCCTGAGCCTGAGGTTGGTCCCCTCCAGGGTCCATACCTCCTGCATGTCCCTGGCCCCAGCAGTGGTCGTGAGGAATGTTTACGGGCCGTGGGCAGTCTTGGTCGCACTTTAATAAACCTGGCAAGGCAAGAGCAGAGGCCACACCTGCCTCATTCCCCCGGCATCCCCAGGGCCTGGTACAGTGCCCGCCATGTAGTGGGCACGAAGTCCATGTGTGTTTGAATGGGTGGGGAGGCTCTGAGTGAACCGGCTGCTGCCTGGCCCTGACCACTGTGTTGGGACTATTTCTTGTCTTCCCAGGCCATGGAGGGCTGAACCAGCTGGGCGGGGCCTTCGTGAACGGCAGACCCCTGCCCGAAGTGGTGCGTCAGCGCATCGTGGACCTGGCCCACCAGGGCGTGAGGCCCTGTGACATCTCCCGCCAGCTTCGCGTCAGCCATGGTTGTGTCAGCAAGATTCTTGGCAGGTAAGCACGAAATTCACCACCCACCACCCTCCGGCAGGGCGGCCTCTGCACCCGCCAGGCTCACAGCCCCTCCCTCCCAGGGACCCGGGCTCCCCGCTCCCCAGAGGCTGCTCCCGCCCTTCTTTCCTTCCGTTTCTCCCGCCTTTGGTGTCTGCCTCCTCCTTTTCTCCTTGATGTGTCTCATTTTCCAAAGGCTTCTCACTCCTACAGCAGGAGACTCTTCCCCAAAGGGCCTTGCCCACTGAGACCCAGGGAGATGGAGCCGCTAGGGAAGGGGCACGCCCTCAGAGGTGGCTTCCAAGGTCAACCCCTGGGCCTCACCCTCTCAGGCAGCCAGGCCTGGATGCTGTGAGCTTTATGAGATGACCAGGTGACCTGCCTGGGGAAACTTTAATTTAAAAAATAGTCCAGTTCTAGGCCCAGCCCACGCCTGTTAAGGCAGAATGTTAGAGGCAGGGCCCAGGTTTGGCATGATTTCGGGCCCTCGCATGATTCTAAAGCCAGAGTTGAAATCACTGCCCAGGGGTTCAGGAGAAGCCAGGACAGCAAAGCTGTACATCCAGGCTGACTGCCTGGAGGGCCACTCCTCTCCAAGTGCAGAGGCAGAGGGTGGGGAGCTTCCCATCAGCGGGGAGCTGCCTCCCTTCCTGACCCACAAGTGGACTCTGGGGGAAGCTCTGGTTTAGAGGCAAAGGACCCGTCACCAAACAGTGGGAAGCTCTGGCCTCCAGGCTGACGTTGTCAGGGAAGAGTGTGGCCCCTTCAGAGTCAGGAGAGGGGACCCCAGGATGGGCCAAGCACCCCAGAGAGGAGGTGGTCCCTGGATGGTGGCAACAGACAGAGTTCAAAGGGCAGATGTCATTTCATGGCAGAAGAGACCAGAGAGTTTCCAGAACAAGGAGGAGGCGGTATCCTGATGTAGGTCATTGACCTGCGAATGCAGCTGGTTGGGGTGAAGGGAGAGGAGGAGAGGGGCGCAGGCTCAGTGTAAGGAGGGGACATGGCCAGACACCCAGGCAAGGCTGGGATTCTAGAGATCGTGAGGAGCGGCTTCTACCTGAACCCTGAAACCTGGTAGAAAACAGTGCCCAAAGGGGGGTGGGGGTGGGGGGTAGGATGGGGAGCAAAGGTGAACCAGCGGATGGGGCAGAGGGCTCAGTGACCTAGCTGGCCTCCTGGGGAGGGCGAAACCAGGGTCGCCAGGGAGAAGAGTGAGTCATGCTGCAGCCAGCAGAGCCGGACAAGGACGCACCACTGTGAGCTGTGACTCACAGGGAACCTACTGGAGCCCGCATTCCTGTTCTTAGAGAGGAATCTGTAGGCCCCCGGGGTGGCCCGGCAGGTACTCATACCAGCCAGAGGGAGAGACAAGGGACGAGCCAGGGGTCCAGGGGTCCAGGGGTCCAGGGGTCCAGGGATCCAGGGGTCCGGGGGTGAGGTCCTCAGCAGAGTGGCCAGGCGGCAGCACAAACCTGCCCATGCGGGGGAAACAGCACTGGAGGGCCCAGCGTTTGAGGCCAGCCTTGGGGGCACATGCGACGCTGGGCCCCTTCCCAGAAGCCTCAGGGGGACAAGGGTCTCTGGTTAAGTCCACGCCCAGAGACTCACCTGCCGACTGGGTAATCTTCGGGTTGTCTATTGGAGTAGGTACTACGAGACTGGCAGCATCCGGCCTGGGGTGATAGGTGGCTCCAAGCCCAAGGTGGCCACCCCCAAGGTGGTGGAGAAGATCGGGGACTACAAGCGACAGAACCCCACCATGTTTGCCTGGGAGATCCGAGATCGGCTCCTGGCTGAGGGCGTCTGTGACAACGACACTGTGCCCAGTGTCAGCTCCATCAACAGGTGAGCGGCCGGCAGCAGCCAGGGGTCTCGGGGGTCATGGGAGAGACCTGAGGAAGGCCCTGGCTCACGGAGCAGAGCTGGGAAGGGCCTGGAGTCAGGCAGGAAGCCCCAGGCACAGGGCTGGCATCTCACCTCCTCACCTCCTCGGCCACAGGCATCCCCACTCCCTTCCTGGCTGTCCTTCCTTACACACCATCATTTTTCATTGAATAAGACAATCTCCTTCTTGAATTGATCCTTTCTTAAGCCACAAGAACCCTAACTTGGCCCTCATTCAGATAATCACTCATTTGTTTAGCCATTCAGTTAGTTATTCACTCACTACATTAATCAGTCATTGGCTCACTCACTCATTGATTCATTCATACACACATAACTCATTGTTATGTGCTAGGCCCTGGGGGCACAAAGTCCTTGTCCTGGTAGAGCTTATAGTCTAGTAGGAAGACACACTATTCAAGCACCCACAGGAACAATTGTAAAAGTGCAGCTCTAAAGCGGGTATGTGAGCTATCGCGGGGGTGACTTGGTATGGGAAGGTTGTGAGATGCCCCTGAGTAAGAAGCAATGAATAGAGTTAACTAGCTTAGAAATGGAGTGAGAAGAGCTCTGAGACAGCACATGCAAAGGCCCTGTGGCTAGCAGGATCTTATACAAGAAGCTGGAAGAAAGCCAGTAGATAGGAGGGGAGCAGGAAGCAGCTGTCAGCAAAGGGTGCCCTTGAGAGGGTAGGGGCCGGGCTACGTGTTCTTGCCTCTGACCCTTGAGCAATGAGGAGCTCTTGGCAGTTTTAAGCAGCAGGCGGGCTTGCATTCAGAAGGTCTGGCCTGCCTGCAATAGGGAGGAGAGAATAGAAAGGTCAAGAGCGGATGGGTGGCCAGGGAACACCGGGAAGGACCAAGTGTGAGGAGTACGGTCGTGGGTTCGATGTGGACAGGTTGTGTGTGAGGTGCTTTTAAGTCACCAAGTGGGATTTCAGAAAGGCAACTGGACCTGGGGCAGCCGCCGGTCATGTTTCCTCCTCTTCTCTCTACCCGTCTTGCTTCCCTTCCTTACAGAATCATCCGGACCAAAGTGCAGCAACCATTCAATCTCCCCATGGACAGCTGCGTGGCCACCAAGTCCCTGAGCCCAGGACACACGCTGAGTGAGTGTGGAGGGGCCGCAGGCACACTCCCCTGCACACAGGTGCCCATCTGCATACACACGGCTCACACCCCCCGTGTGGACTCGGCCCTTCCAGGGGACAAAGCCTTGTGGGCTCCCTGGAACCAGCCAGGAGCTATTTAGGAAGCACAGCATGAGGCCTGACTCCGTGGTGGGGCAGGGGCGCTCAGGGGTGTCCCTCCCCCATCCTGACCCTGTCCCTCTCGTGCTGTAGTCCCCAGCTCGGCCGTGACGCCCCCGGAGTCACCCCAGTCTGACTCTCTGGGCTCCACCTACTCCATCAATGGGCTGCTGGGGATCGCCCAGCCCGGCAGCGACAGCAAGAGGAAGATGGATGACAGTGAGTGTGGGGGCACGGAGGGTAGGTCGGGGTGCAGGAGGGCAGTTTGCTCAGGCTCCGATGGGCCAGAGCCCCCTTGGGCCCAGGAATGTGTTGTTTTGGCAACTATTGGCCTGTAGCACGTGGTCTATCTCTGAGCGGCCACAGCCCTGAGGCCCGGAGGCCTGGGACCTGGGTCCTTCCCGCCTCTGCAGCTCAGTCTGCTCCTCCACTCGGGCCTGGGGATGGGTAGATGGGTCCCCTGAGAGCTTTCTTCCTGCCCGGGGACCCCAGGTGACCAGGACAGCTGCCGGCTGAGCATCGACTCCCAGAGCAGCAGCAGCGGGCCCCGCAAGCACCTCCGCACGGACGCCTTCAGCCAGCACCACCTCGAGCCCCTTGAGTGCCCCTTCGAGCGGCAGCACTACCCGGAGGCCTATGCCTCCCCCGGCCACACCAAAAGCGAGCAGGTGAGATGGGAGTGGAGGGGACTGGGTGGGCTGGGGCCCAGCAGGGTGCGTCTCTGCAGACCCGTGATCTGCCTGCAGTCCTGCCACCAGAGCAGCCAGAAGTTGCTTTGATCGCTTGGGGCAGGAGCTTCATGCAGCTCCAAGCCCCAAACACCTGCTGTTTCACCAATGCTGGCACTTCCTCCTCCTCCTCCCAGCCCTCTTGTCTGCTTCCCTCATCCACACTGAGCTCAGCCCTCTCCCAGGAGCCACAGCCAGGCCGTGCCACCCCCCCCCCCTGCCCGCAGTGCCTCCCAGACCACAGGGTCGGGTCCCACAGCTCTAGAGCTGCAGCCCGAAGCCTTCCCCCTGTGACCTCAACCAGCACTTCCAGTCCCACTCCGGCCACTCACGCCTGCACACCCCATGACCCTGCATTACTCACGCCCCCGAGCGTGCACTCTCGTTCACACCTCTCTGCTCTGGCACACCCTGTGCCTCCCTGCGAATGCCTTTCCTCCCACGCCTCTGCCTGGAAAAATACCGCCGGCCATTAGGACTCAGCTCAAGCATCACTTTGCCCATGAGTCCTCCCCTCCCCCAGGTGTGTGTCCTCTCTCCCTCCTGGGCTTCTGCACCTCACCTGCCACTCCTCGTCACTTCTCCCGCGGCGTCAGAGCTGTCCAGTGGGCAGAGGTGTAAGGACACAGTGGGCAGCCTCTTCGAGCACCTTATAAAGTCCCCACCCCCGAGCGCGTGCCGTTAGAATAGATGCTCAGTAAAGGCGGGTTGGGTGAGGGAGTTGAGAAATGCAGGCAACTGGCTGCAAGTGCTCAGAAAGCAGAGTTTATAGTGCGTGGGCTGGCTTCTGTGAGGGTGGCCGCCACAGCCCAGTCTCCCGGGGCCAGCAACGTGTCACACTCTGACACAGCTGCCAGGCGCTGCCTCTGACCGCTTCTGTCTGTCAATAGCCCACGTCTCCCCCCGACCCAGGCAGTTAGCCAGCTAAGGGGTTTCAGGGTGGTGTCTGCCCCCCGTCTTTGCTCACGCTATCAGGGTCTAGGAGTGAAGCAGGACAACGGTGAGGATGCCACCAATCAGCTGAACCCTTGCCAGTGGCCGTCTGGGCAGCTGGGCCTGTGCCAGCACCTGCAGCTGGGCAGGCAATCTGCGTCAGCGATTTTATCAGCCTGGGCCATGGTAGCCACGAGGGGTGCAGAGAAAGCTGGCTGTCAGCAGACCTGGGGACAGGGCTGGGTGCTCATCGAGCCAGCACACGGCTCTGGAGGGAGTGGGGTGCAGCAGTGGGAGCTCGCCCTGCTCACAGGGGCCTGCACAGCCCAGCGTGCAAGCACCAGCCATCCCGGAAGAGGGAAAGAGCCCCGTCGCTGAGGCCCTGGGCACCCGCTGGGGTGCAGAACCTCCCCCCCATTCCTGAGCCCCCCGAGAGCCCAGCCTGGTGAGGGGGCCTTTCCCGCCCTTGGTGGCTGCCGATGCTGCCAGAGAAGCAGCCGTGCTCTCTCACCTGGCACGGTCCTGGCAGCCGACAGAAGCCAGGTCCTCACACCTGGCCTGAGGGTGGGGCAAATACGCTGTCTTTTCTGGAAAAGCAACACGGGGGAGAGTGTTGGGCAGAAGCGTGTTTCAGTGCCAGGCGTAGTTAGGAGTCTCTGCGGCCCTTGTTCCTCTGTATCAAGTGCACGGAAAACCGATTAACAGGAGGGAATAATGGTAGGGTGACAGGGACCGAGAACTTGGCAGCTCCTACTCTCAGATATGGGGAATAACACTGCCTGTGATAAGTCTGTACAGAGCACGCGCTGTCCCCAGACACTTTCGCTGAGTGCTCCATCGGTGTATGTAACACCTCGATCCTGACCTCAGCCTCAGAGCCTGCTGCCCCTGCCGCACAGGTGACACAAATCAAGGCTCCAAAGGGCCAGGACCCAGCAGCTGCCTGGCTGGCGGTGCGGAAGCAGGGCTCGCCACGTTCTAAAGCAGCGGTTCTCAACCTGTGGGTCGCGACCCCTTTGGGGGTCGAACGACCCTTTCACAGGGGTCGCCTAAGACCATCGGAAAACACATATATAATTACATATTGTTTTCGTGATTAGTCACTATGCTTTAATTATGTTCAATTTGTAACAATGAAAATACACCCTGCATATCAGATATTTACATTACGATACATAACAGGAGCAAAATTACAGTTATGAAGTAGCAACGAAAATAATTTTATGGTTGGGGGTCACCACAACATGAGGAACTGTATTAAAGGGTCGTGGCATTAGGAAGGTTGAGAACCACTGTTCTAAAGCATCGTACCGCTCCGCACCCCCGTTCAAGTTAAGGCCGTGTGAGAAACCAGTCATCTCTGGGATATGTAAGCCATCCTGTGCGACAGCACCAAAGTAGCTGGCTAGATAGGTTTGGGATTTTGTTTTTTTTGTTTTGTTTTTTTCCACTAAGTTTCCTGGATTTTAGAGCAGCTATAGATTTCAATAGGTATTTTGGTATGGAACCAACACATTCAAAGGCATTTTAAACTTGCCTCACCCTCTCTAGAAATTAGGTATTTTGTTCAGTTTTGCTAAGCTGTGCGGTAAGCATCTCCACCCACATAGGCATGGGCCCTCGGAGGCAGGGGACCAGAGCACCACTGAGTCGGTAATTGCTCTGACGGTAACGGAGCCCTTGTGGCCTCCAGAAGGGCCCGGCACGCACCCGGAAGGTGCTGCAGCTCCTTAGCGCCAGCTCCATGGAAGTCACCGGAAGTGATTGCCTTAGTGGACTATTATGTAACCAGGAAGTGATCCTTGAGTTTTTTTTAATAAAGATTTTTAAATGGATTTTTTTTTTTTTTTTACAGAGAGAGGAAGGGAGAGAGAGGAAAAGAGAGGGTAAGAGAGAAACATGGATGTGAGAGCAGAACATGGATCAGCTGCCTCCCACACGCTCCCTATTAGGGGTCAAGCCGGCAACCTGGGCGTGTGCCCAGACCTGGAATCGAACCAGCAACCCTTTGGTGCATGGGGCAACCCCCAACCAACAGCCACACCAGCCAGAGCTTGAGCTCAGCTTTGCATATAGTGTTAGTGACGTGTGTGGGGAACAGGGTGCACTGTGTGTGCTGCCTCGTCCTCTGGTGGGAGGGGTCCCAGTGGGGGCGGTGTGTGCAGCCTTGAATTGAACAACCTCTTTCTGGAGGGAGTGCCTTAGGAGATGGCCCTGCTTGTGTAGGTGGAGTCTGGGGGGAGTCTGACCTGAGCTCTTAGTAAAAAAAAAAAAACCCAGGGCCGAAACCGGTTTGGCTCAGTGGATAGAGCGTCGGCCTGTGAACTGAAGGGTCCCAGGTTCGATTCCGGTCAAGGGCATGTACCTGGGTTGCGGGCACATCCCCAGTAGGAGATGTGCGGGAGGCAGCTGATCGATGTTTCTCTCTCATCGATGTTTCTAACTCTCTATCTCTCTCCCTTCCTCTCTGTAAAAAATCAATAAAATATATTTAAAAAACAAACAAACAAACAAAAAAACTCAGGTACTGCTAAAGAGACAGAATTAACCCAAGTGTCACCTTCAGGCTGGATCTGGACATTTCTATTTGCTTGGATGTGGAGAGGAGAAAGGAGATCCACCTGATCTGGTGGGGACCACGGCTGCCCAGTGACCGCAGGAGAGCACCTGGTCGGGGCCGGTGTCCCCAGCGTGGTCCCTGTTTCGTAAGGGCCTCCGGGCTTCAGGCTCTCGGCACAGAAAGCAGGCACAGTGTTGCTTGCCCACGTCACAGGGCTGCCAGGGGCGTGGACCCGGATAACAGCGGCAAAGCTCTTGGCAGATGTGAGATGTGGCGATGCTGTTAACCAGTCCAGGGCAGCGGCTGGCGGCATGGCACTGCAGCCAGGCCCCTTGGGTTTAATCCTGGCTCTGCCCCGTGTGCGAGTGTGACAGGCTCCCTGACCTTTCGCGCTCGCATTTCCTCTCTGGGAGGAAAAAATGGTCCCACACGGTCCTGTGGGCTGAAGCTCCACCTGCATCTTGTCCTCCGTGAGTTCGCATCCTGTGAGCAGGCGAGGGAAGGGACCCGCCGGCCTGGGGGAGGTCCTGGGAAGGAGACGCTCCAGCCTGTGCCTGCTCACAGGCCAAGAGCCACGGCAGAGGGGGAGCCGGGAGCCTGGGTAAGAGAACAGCAGGGCTGTGCGTCAGGAATGAGAAGCCATTAAACACGCTAAGTGGAGTCGAGGAGCAGAGACAGCTGCAGGTAAGGCTTGCCCCAGGGGCCTCTGTGCCGACTCTTCTTTGTTCCCCAGGGCCTCTACCCGCTGCCCCTGCTCAACAGCACCCTGGACGACGGGAAGGCCACCCTGACCCCTTCCAACACACCCTTGGGGCGCAACCTCTCGACTCACCAGACCTACCCCGTGGTGACAGGTAGGATGCCCAGAATCTCCTGAGCCATGTGGCCCTGGCTGCCAGGTTGGGCTGGAGGGCAGGCGAAAGCAGGGCAAAGCTAGCATGAGGAGGAAGGTGTTAGGGCCCTAGACGTGGAGAGGAGAGGGCTCTGCTGGCTGGGCCTCCTGGTGGGTCAGGAGGGTCCTACCCTCTCTGCTCAGCCCCTCCTCTGCCTGCTGTGCACTGTGGAGAGGCGGGCACTCCAGCCCTCTGCACACTGGTGGGGGCACAGCAGAGCAGAGCTGCTCCCGCCTCTCAGCTCCAGGAGCACCAGCCCAGCCACCCCGGGCCTGCACCCCCATCTCATGGCTTGTTGTGCATGCTCCCACCATCATCTCACCCTCTCTCCTTGTCTCCCTCCCCGGCAGATCCTCACTCACCCTTCGCCATAAAGCAGGAAAGCCCCGAGGTGTCCAGTTCTAGCTCCACCCCTTCCTCTTTATCTAGCTCCGCCTTTTTGGACCTGCAGCAAGTCGGCTCTGGGGTCCCCGCGGGAGCCTCGGTCCCGCCCTTCAATGCCTTTCCCCACGCTGCCTCAGTGTACGGGCAGCTCGCGGGCCAGGCCCTCCTCTCAGGTATGACAGGGAGGGCCGGGCCTGCAGCCTTCGTGGGGGTGGGAGGGGCCCAGGGCCAGTCCCCTGGTTCCAAGGGGTCCAGTCCCCTCTCTGGTCCTCAGTCCTGTCCACCATTAACCTCTTTCCGAATCCCTCCGCCCACTGTTGGAGGTACCAGTAAGTGGGTCTCCACGCAGCAAAGTCAGGCCATGGGGGGCGGGTACTCTGGGGGTGCCTGGAATGGGGTGCTTGGCAGCTTTCCCAGAACCTCGAGGCCCCGTGGAAAAGCAGGGACCCTAGGCCAGGAACCAGGCGCTCTGCTGAACACTTGGTCTGGGGGAAAAAAAACAAAAAAGAAGGAAAAAATTGATAAAGCTCTGAAGGAAAAAAGTCATTGGATTTTGGAGCCAATTTCCAGATCAAATTTCTAAAGACAAAGGACCAGCCACAGTCGGGTCTCCACAGTGGAGCTCCGGTCGTGCGTGCCTCACGGTGTCACCCTTGGAGGACTCACACCTCAGTCTCCTCTCCTCAAAGCCAGAGCACCGGGGCCGGGCGGCTGGAGCAGTCCTGACACTGAGGGAGGCAGGCCCAGAGCAGGGCCGGTGGGGGCCCTGGATAGGATCGTGGTGCTGGCAGGTGAGGGCTCACCCCTTGTGCCCCTGCTCAGACCCCTGCAGGGCGGGGTCTCCCTGGCAGAAGGCCATGGGCGGCCGGCCAGGGCCTGAGGGGCACAGGGAGAGCGAGGCAGTGGGCTTGGGCAGAGAAGGCCTGTGATGGAGTGAAGATGGCAGGTCCCGTAACAGTACTCAGGCACCGAAGGGTGACCGCAGCCAAGGGCTGTTCTAGGTGTGGCCCAGGCGTTGAACCAGAGCGCATGGGGGAGCAGACGGGGGCGGCCCCTCTGACCAGTGGTTTCCAAACATGCCGGGGCCTCGCAACTCTCTCTGGAAATGAAAGCTTCTCTGGAAGTCAGGTCCCAGCCAGACCACTGCGGAGTGGCCCTGCTTGCAGCCCCGCTCTGCCCGAGCGCCCTTGGACTTGGGAACCACTGCTCACGAAGAGAAGAGCAGGGTCTCCACCTCTGAGGGAGCCGTGGTCTCCACCCTCCCTTCTAAGGCCTCTCCCCTCTGCGTGGGGAACGGGGAGTTCCCCCAGCACCTCTGAGGAGGGAGGTCATCTCAGAGGAGGTGGGCACAGAGGTGAAGGGTTAATAAAGGAAGCCAGTGTGTGGGAAGCAAGGGAGAAAATGTTGACTCAGACTTCAGAATTTCAAAAGAGGGTGAAGTCAGCGGAGATGGGTCATTTGTTTTGACCAAAGTGATGAAAGGAGAGAAATCGTGAGCTGGGTAGGATGATGTCAGCCGGAGAAAATGGGGTGGGAGGGAGGAGAGAGGGGGAGGAGAAGAGTCTGCCTTCCCAGCCTGCCCCTCTCATGTGAACAGTGAGGCAGGTGAGGGATGAGGGTGTGGACGAGGCCATGAGGAGGGGGAGCAGGACCCGCAAGCGAGGGAAGGACAGATGTCTCAGAGCACAGCGGGTGTCAGTGTCGGTACAGAGTGGAGCTGGACAGCCCAGGGAAACCCTGTGCCCCAAAGCCCCACACTTTCTCCCCTCCCTGTCACCTTGTTGGGGCTTTAAGCACCCCTGTCAACACACAATCAGATCAGGGACCTTCCAACTCCTTTCAGCTCTCAGTTTAGTGACATGCCCACTCTAAAACCAGCTGTGGGACATGCACCCTGGGTGGAGCAGCTGGTGGCAGTGACCTGGGTCCATTCAGGCAGCCCATGCACAGCTTTGATGTGTCCTTCAGGCTGGTGGCCCTGGGCCAGGGCCAGGTGGGCTGGGGTGCAGGGTATGATCCCCGGGAAGGCTGATGGCTGACTGAAGGGCCCAGCCCACCCGTCCGGGAGCTTGGAGAAGAGCAGGCGGTGCCCAAGATCAAAGGACTGGGTCCAGGCAGGCTGTCAAGAGTAGGAAGCTTACAGAGCTGGGCCAGCCCTGTGGCCTGGGCACAAGGCCTTTGATAGCTGGTGTCCACGCCAGACCCCGGGTGTTGGAGCTCCTGAGAGAATGTCCACATATGGGCCCTGGTCCAGATCAGACCTAAACATCTACCATGTGGCTGAACCACGGTGAACAGACCAGGAGGTCACGCAGAGAGAGGAAGGGTGGGAGGTCAGCAGAAGGATCTTGACGGTGGGAGTCTAGAAACCTATTCGAGGGAAGAAGAGGTGAATTTGAAAGGAAGGAAAGGAGGCAGGACCGAGGGGCCAGGAGGGAGGCTCAGCCCCACCTACATGGGCCCTCCCCCTCTGAGGCTCCCGAGGACCCCCTGCTGCCTCCTGCACCCTTTGCCTGCTTCACAGTCTCCCCAGGTTCCTCCCTACCCAGCCCAGAGGCTCTCGCTGTCCTTCTGGCTCTCAGCTTCTCCCTAAACCAGCCAAGAACGAAACAGCATCAGGGGACGTAGGATTGCCCCTTACTCCCCCAGTGCCCTCAGGTGCCCCAGCTGGGGTCCCGGCACTCTCGACAGGACCGATGTGGAGGCGCCTGGTCCTGGCTGCTCCAGGGCTCACTCCAGCTCCGCTGGTCAGAAGGCTCTGAGTTTGGTTTTATCATCAAAGAGTCCATTACCCGCCTCCATCCTTTTGTACAAAATTATATTTAGTCCTGCCAGAGAGATTTCTGGATCGCCATAAATTCTCCTTGCTATCAGAACAAGATAAGGAACTAAAAGGGTCCCGTAGAGGGCAGACATCAAAGGGGCAAATAAAATGGTCTGAAAGCACCTCTGCCCTCTGAATTCCTCCACACCATGTTTCTCACCCTGATCCTACCCATATTTACAAGATTCACCAATATATCCGGGGTGCTGGCGTTTTCTTATAGAACCCCACTTCACAGCAAGTCAGTGTGGGCCCGTGCCTACGCCAACTTCTTAAAAATAAGACCACATTGGAAGGATGTGTGAGTGCAGAGGAGATAAAATTACAAACCACAGGTAAATTTAGGGTGAAGAGCCTTAAAAGTAAATAGTGGATGAAAAGAAGGGCATGGTGAGGTTGTGATGGAGGGCCTCACCTCACGGCTTCCCCGGTTTCATCTCTAAGAAGGTTGTGAGGTTCTTGGCTTTGGGGAAAAAACCACGAGTTTAAGGAATTAAGGCAGAGTTTTGTGGGACTGCTGGAAAAGTTTATGGAACCATAGTCTGGGAGAGGACTGCACTGAAGAGAGTCTTACTGGTTTGTCACAGAGGCCAAGGTCCTGGGAGGAGGCCAAGTGGGGTCTGCTCCAGCATTCGGTTCAGAAATCTCTGCCTCACTGGGAGGAAATTAGGCGACTAAGGAGAAACAAAGATTAAAATCTTGAAACTTATTGATTCCGTTTCCAAAAGCAATTTGGGGGCTAGTTTTCATGGGATGGGATGCAGGGAGCAGTTATGACTGAATTAAGTTGTGGCTTAAGAGGAGTATGTGCCCTGGTGCTCTGCTCACCGAATTGCCCAAGAAGCAGCAGGGTCAGGAGATAGAAAGGACAGGACAAGGGCAGGGGGAAGGAGCATCCCTGGACAGTGCCTAGGCCAGCCCTGCAAATAGGTGGCCTGCGAGCCAAGACTGAGAATCCTGAGTCCTCAACACAGTGCACCAGGAAGCCCCAGGCAGGCAATGAAGAAGTGAGGCGAATCCACTTCACCATCTCTCATCCAACCCAGCTCCTCATGAGACAGACGGGAAGATGCAGTTCAGAGAAATTAAGGAACATACTCCTCAGCCACAACCTGACCTAGACCTAGACCCCGTTCCCTCCCCCCTTGACTGGAGGAAGTAAGGGAAATAGGAAGAGAGAAGGCATCAGGTCTGAACCAGCCACCTCTCTCCCATCACTCTCTTACTCAGGCCACCTGCCCACCCTCTGTACTCCTCCTGCCCTTACAGACGGCACATCTCTCCTCTCTCCTGGGTTCCTGGCCAGGTGCTTGGTCCAAGGGCTGAGGGCTGAGTCTGACCATATTGCAGTCTTGGAAGAAAGATAAGACTGTACTTCCATATAGCTTCTGCATCCTCCTCCCGCTACCTGTAAATATGCTAACATTCCTTTTTCCTCACCAACATTTCCAACGCCTCACTTGTTCAGGCCCTGAGTCAAGCGCACTGGACCCATCTGTGGAATCCCAGTGGGCTCCACTCTGTTTGGCCCAGCACCACTCACAGCCGGACATTGTACTGAAGGTCAAACAAATTAGGGGCGGTGTTTATTTTTATCAGCACATTCACGGTCTCACCGATAACTCATTTCAAATGGGATTGATTCTATTCGGGTTCCTTTGACATATAACAACTTGTAGAATGTGTTCATGGCACTAACCAGTGTTTGCCTGTTGCACGAGACCCTGGCTCTGGATGACACAGATGACATCATAGCAACAGTGATAAGATAGTGATAGTGATGAGGTGCATAGAGCTTCTCTTCTTTTCCTCCCATTTTGCATGTGAAGGAACTGAGGCTTGGGGCACATGGGCGGCTGGTCTAAGGGCACTTGGAATAGGAGCCACTGAAGCAGGATAAGAAGCGAGGTCCTCGGATTCCTGACATCCAGTAGGCCTGGCACTGTTTGTTGACCCCTTAAGGGTGGCTCCCCATGCCCAGCCTAGTCTGTGCCCCATCTTGGCCTTGCTAATTGAGCATTCTTGTTTTCTGCTGTGTCCCCGAGTAGTCAGAAAGCTGCCTAGTCCATCAGATTCATTCATAAGTATTTGTTGAATGAAAAACTTGCCTTCAGGGACTCTCCAGAAAGAGAGGTGAGGAGAAGTTGGTCACTGTGGTTTTGACAATTTATAGAGTTCCGTGGATATACCTTCCTTCCATCACTACCAGGCACCCCCTGAAGGGCTGAGGTATGAAGGTCCTACAGGGACCGACGGGAGGGAAGTTGGACGGGCAGTGTCGGGAGGGGATAGACTTAGTAAGTTGGTCGACAGGGGCCAACCTCACAGGGGCCCCTCACAGGGGCCATGTAAGTCCTAGGAGAAAAATCAGCCTCCGTGTGAAGAGGCAGAGGCATTGGGTAAAATGGTCCCAGCCTAACACAGTGTCCCTCGGCCAGAGGCAATTTTGCAACCAGGGGATGTATGGCAATATTTGGAGACATTTCTGGTTGTCACACTGGGAGGAAGCTGCTACTGGCATCCAGTGGGTAAAGGCCTGGGATGGTCCCGAATATCCTATAAGGCAGCGGATGGCCCCAAACAAAGATTAACCAATCCTAAATGCCTAAATGTCAGCAGTGCTGCACTGAAGCATCAGCAAGAGCCCCAATGACCAAGTAATTCATCCTTCAAGCTCGGCATTTTGGAAGTGAGATGGGCATTACTAATAAGTATGCGGGGACAGTGGTCCTAACTGGGCCGGCCAGCATGTGTCGTCACCTTGCCAGGAATCCCTGAAGGGGTCTGACCTGGGCCTGCAGGTCATAAAAAGGAGTGATGGGTGGAGGGGCGTGCATCTGTGGGCACAGGTGCAGATGGAAAGAAACTCAGAGGTCAGGCGGAGACCGAAAGGGAAGGTTCGACTTCCTGATGTACAGGACAGGGGGAGCCAGGGAAATCAGGGCTGAGCTGTCTCGGTGTCACCAGGGCAGGGGCACTACCCACAATTATAGACTAACAAAGAGAAGAGTGTCTGTTTTGCTGAAAATGTTTTTTCAGGAATGGGATCAACAGATGTGGGGTTGGTGGTCATGTGTAAATGTTTAATACATCTCAGTCCATGTCCCCTTTGTGGTTGGGGATAGCCAGTAGGTTTCCTGTCCCTTGTAACTCTGATAGGCTGTGTCCATCTGTCAGGCAGGAAGAGGAGGACCTCCCTCTGGCTCAGTGAAAAAAGATTGCAGTGATTGATTAGTAATATCTGCATGGGTTCAAAAAAGGATAGTAATGGGCCAGCAGGCCACACCTCTGCCACCCTAGGTAGGGCCTTGTTCTTGGTTGTACTCAGAGCTGGGGCTGAAAGGGTGTGAGCTCTGAGTCCAGTGACCTCTAACGCATTCATTTAGGCCAGCTGTCCTGAATGCGGTAGGAGAAACCAGGGCCCAGAAGACAAAGCCCCAGCCTCCCTCCAATACATGATAGTTATCGATGAATGAGATTCACGGAAACAAAATCCCTGAAGAGCAGGGAATGATGCAGGACAGCCACAGCAGTGCCCCCTTCATGGTGGAGCCTGGGGGCTGCAGAGGAGAGAGGAGGGAGGAAGTGGATTGGAGAATGGCCTGAGAGCAAGTGGGCGTGGCAGGAGGGAAGCCTCAGTGATTCTCCAGGAAGCAAGATGGTAAGTACAGCGGCCTCCCGTGGCCCAACTGAGGACTCCTTCCTGTGTTTTTCCAGGGCGAGAGATGGTGGGGCCCACGCTGCCCGGATACCCACCCCACATCCCCACCAGTGGACAGGGCAGCTATGCCTCCTCTGCCATCGCAGGCATGGTGGCAGGTAAGGGGACGCCGCACAGGAGGGGGAGCATTGCCAAGAGGAAGTGTTGGCCAAAGGAGGAGCAAGACTCCTTGAAGGGCACTGGGGGAGGGACCGAAGGGTGCATCTCTTGAAAGTCTGGAGGAGAGACTTCAGTGCAGTCCTGGCTTCTTACTGCTCCCCAACTCTGCCTCCTCCTTCTCAGATCCTCCTACATCACCCATGGTGATGAAAAGGGAGGGGCTGAGGCAGACTGGTGCTCTACCACTTGGTCCTTCCATTCAGGGAGCCCAGGTGGGGCTGCAAAACATTGGCAGCTAAACATAAGCCTAGCCTTCCAATAACTCCTGGTCTCCCAGTTATTTAACGAGTGAATCTCAGTGTACCATTCTGTAACATCTGAATATGAGTGGTGTAGGGATGACGATGATGATGATGACTATGATGATGATGATGATGATGATGATGACGATGATGGTTGAAGTATAGCCATCTTCATACGCCACACCCACTCAACCCTGTATGGGTGGGACCCGAGTTCTAGATATTCGGAAGGTACTGTAGAGTGTGAGATAGCTGGGAGCATTTCTCCATTGTCATTTGAGCTGCCCTGGAATCCTGCCTGCCAGTCATTAGGTTTCTTTGTCTACCAGTGCAGTCATCACCCAACGGTGACCCAGGGTGTCAAGGCCTGGACACGTGAGGAGGACAAGGAGAGTCTCTTTTGGCAGGCGTCTCTCAGGGACCATAAAGGAAGGATGGGAAGGATAGGATAGAACATTTTCACTGCCCAGAGGCCTGAGGACCTGGAGCTTCTGGAAGGGGCTGAATCAGGGCCTCTGCGATCCCCATGCCACCCCTGGGCCAGATGCCCTGGCCTGACCCCAGAGACAGTGCCTTCACCAGGCCTGCTTTCCTGCCCCCTGGCAGGGTTGTCTTTGCCAGTCACCCACCCTGGTGCCCTGTGTGAGGCAGGGGGCTGGGCTCTCCTGGGCAGAGGGAAGGGAGGGAGAAGTGAGGGAGGGAAGCAGGCTCTATGCTCCCTGGGAACCTGCTGAGCTGGCACTTGTTGCTGACTGGTTACCGTGGCGATGTGCTTAATGCAGCGTTGAAAATACAGAATACTCACTCCTCTCTCCCTCCTGGCCCCGGACTCCCTCCCTCCCTCCCTTCCTCTTCTGGAGCGTGAAATGAGATTGGTCAAGATAAAAAAGGAAAAGATTCGGTTATTTTTTTAAGAGTGTGGATAATGGGGCCTCTCAATCAAAATCCCAGGCTCCAGTCGGCTCCCCCAACCCCCATCCAACCTCTCCACCTTCTCCGGCCTCCTGCTTAGAGGAGGAAACATAAAGCCCAGTCTTTTCTCTTAATTATGAATCATCCCGGGGGCATGCCCAGGGCAAGGGGCTCCTGGGGCCCAGAGTCTGACCTGGAGGTAGCTGGAAAGCTTGGGCCTCTCATCAAAGGCCCCAGGTTTTTTCCAGAAAGACCTCATCCCGCGTGGGTGTTGTGGACAAAAAAATAGCACAACCACAGCATCCACTGCAAGTGCACTGGAAGGGAGGGGCCTGGCTTTGTTCAGTGGATGGTGGGTTGGCTCCCAATAAGTTACATGCAAATCTGATCTTCAGAAAATGCAGTGCTATTTCATTGTTTCACCTGGTTCCTAGGAACTCCGTGGTGAATTTTTTGGTAGGAAAATTACTTGTTCATCTCTTACCAGTGTCCACAATCTCCCAAGGACAATGAGGATTCCTTCCATTAAAATCAATAAACCTTCATTAAGCACCTACTATGTGCTATGTAAACAATAAGTGCTTCAAGCAAGGCATGTTAATGACAGTCTTCAATCAGTTGTGGAAGAAACAAGAGATTACTTATTCTGTACTTCTGTGTGCCTGGCCATTCTTAGATATAACTTTATTTCTCATTTATCCTTACCATGAGCCTTGGAAGCTGGTATTATCCTAGCTTTATAAAGATAAGGAAACACGCTTAGAAAAGCAAAGTGGTGTGCTCAGGGTTATAGCCATACTAAGTGGCTGAGTTGTTCAAAAACAGGTATTTTGATTTCAAATTTAGGGCTCTGTCACCACACCACACTGCCTCCCACCATCCAGAAATCAGGACACCATGTCAGAGAACAACATAGGAACAGGACAGGACTCAGACTTCTCTTATTTTGCCTCCTAATTGTTGTTGTTGACCCTGCCCCATTAACATGTTTAATGATGCTCACACCAGTTCTGGAGCTGAACCAACAGCTCCAGAGATAGTTTGATCCATCCATCCATCCATCCATCCATCCATCCATCTTTCCTTCCATTCACCTTTACACACATTTTCCCATACATACACGTATCTTCTCATTCATTCTTCTATCTTCCTATATATTCTTCCTTCCATCCATCCATCTATTCTTTCTATCAATCTACCCTTTCATCTTTCCAGCTATTTATTTATCCATCTATCCATCCATCCATCCATCCATCCAGCCATCCAGCCATCCATCCATTCATCCATGCTTTCATCCCTTCATCCTTCCATTCTTCCATTCATTCTTCCATACATCCATCCTTTCATCTATCCATCTTTCCATTATCTATTATTCTTCCATCATCCACCCTTTCAACCATACATCCATCCACTACTTTTTCACTGAACAAATACTGGTTGAGGATCTGTGGCATAAGATGCTGAGGATATAGCAATGAATAAGACCAGTCTCTCTATTTATGGAGTTTACAACCTAATAGTGAAGAAAAAAGTACAGAAAACAAGCCAACAAATGAATAGACAGCAAGTACTGTAAAGAGAACAAAATGGGATGATGTGATACAAAGCCACAGGGAAAGGATATACTACTTTAGATGGGGAGAGCAGGAAAGCCTCTCTGAGGTGTTCAAAGTGCAAAGGCCCCAGGGCAGGGACTGTGGTCGCACACAGATAGAGGGTGTGAGTGAGCGGGAAAGGACTCCACCGTGAGATGTTGGCAGTGGCTTGGGTCAAATTTTAAGAGTACTCAGGCTGCTGGGGAACTGGTTGTGGGCATTCAAAAGAGGCAGCAGAGACCAGGGGCAATTGCGGTTCAAGCAGTGGCCTTGGATTGGGGAGGCAGCAGTGAAGGAGGAGAAGAGAGATACTCAAGACATATAGAGCCAGCAACACTTTCTGGTGAAGTGGTTGTAGGGGTTCAGACACCCCTAGGCTTGGGGCTTGGAAAACTTCCTGGATGGTGGTGGCAAGTACGCATGGGGGAGACTAAGAGAGGAAGAGGTAGAGCATGTGGCAGGTGGAAATCAAGAGTCCTGTGGCGCCAGATTATGACTGAGACACCTCCTCGGTACCAGTTGAGTAAGTCAGTAGGTACAATAAATGTCTGAAGTCAGCAAACCATCCTGATGAGGGCATACATTTCAGCCATTGCTCAGAGCTGTAATTTAATGCCAAGGATTAGACAAGATCACGGGAAAGAGAAGGTGGATGGAAATTCACAGAGGTTCACCACATTCATGCCTGGGCTCTCACATTTAGAGTCTCACAGAGAAGGAACCAGAAGGAGACTGTGGTGGAGAGGCAGTGGGTCAGGACAGACCCCACCCCACCCCCTCCCCCGAGAGAGGGGTTGGTGGATGAGTCCAAGGCGGCTGAGAGTTAAGGAGTGGTAGACAGAAGTGACCACTAGGATGATTGGGTAGAGGCAGTGAGGATAGGAGGGGTCAGTCTGATTGGAGGGGAATGCAGCGGTGAAGGCAAAGACCAGGGAGCAGGAGAGGGGCTGGGAGCTGGAGAGGGATGTGGAGTAGGAAGAGGATTTTTAAAGAAAAGAAAACAGAGCATGTTTGCTGGCTGAAGGGGGTGATGGATTAGAAGGGGAGAACCGATGAAGCAGAAAGGAGAAGGGATCCATTGTAAGGATCAAGTCCTTGCAGTGATGAGTGGGGTGGGATGCAGAGCAAAGAGGATGGCTGGCCTGTCGTGGGTGCAGGGGCATGGACAGATCTGGTAGAGGGAGGACGCTGTACCACCTTCCAAGGCCCGTCCCCTCTGCAGCAGGAACTGAAGCAGATGGGTGCTCGGCAGACATGAGTTCAGTGAGTGCATACGTGTGTGAGTGCATGAATGCATAAGTGACAAGACGAGAGGGCAAGCACGCTGCATTTTCCACTTCTCTTCCTTGTCCCTTAGCGCCAGCAGTATCGGCACTGGGTGGGGTGGGGTAGAGGCACGGGGCCCTTGCTGTGTCACCAGGGTTGAATCGGCTTCCTCACTGGGTGCAGTGAACCCAGGATGTCTTGGCTACAGCAGCAGTAAACAGAGCAGTTCACATTGTGGGGTGCAAGAAAGAGCTAGAGTAGGCACTGGGGCTGGTTCTGGTGCAGGCCTTCAGTGCACATGTGGCTGAGGGCTAATGTCTTTCCCTCTCTGCATAGTAGTTTTTTCATCTGGGAAATGATGGTTGGATTAGATACTTTCTTAGCTTTCTTTTTTTTCCCTTTGCTTTTTCCTTCCCCTCCCTTCTTCCTTCCCTCCCTCTCTCTCTCTCCCTCCCTCCCTCCCTCTCCCCATTGACCTGCCTGGAGAAGCCCCTCACAGGTCTGGGCAGTAGTAGAAGTGGTTAGAAGCTGGGCGGAGGAGTCACAGCTCCCAAACCCTCTGGCTGTGTGAGCATATGCAAATCCCTAGGCCTTGGTTCTTCACCTGGAAAATGGGCATAATGGGAACAACCGCCTGTGCCAGTGATGGTGAACCTTTTGAGCTCAGCGTGTCAGCATTTTGAAAAACCCTAACTGAACTCTGGTGCCGTGTCACATATAGAAATTTTTTGATATTTGCAACCATAGTAAAACAAAGACTTATATTTTTGATATTTATTTTATATATTTAAATGCCATTTAACAAAGAAAAATCAACCAAAAAAATGAGTTCGCGTGTCACCTCTGACACGCGTGTCATAGGTTCGCCATCACTGGCCTATGCAGTTCCTTGAGGGACAGCTTGTCAGGGTGGGGCCCCAGTGTCCAGGGAAAGGACACTGCTCCAAATGACACCGACTGAGGGCCCCCAAGGGAGGGGCCTTCTGAGCTGCCACTGTCCTGCCCTGGTTCCACCTCCCAGGGCTCGCCCAGTGCCAGCCCTGCACACCCTTCTCCCCGACCCCAGCCCCATGTGGGTGCTGCACCCCACCTCTCACTGTGTGTCTCCCACAGGAAGCGAATACTCTGGCAATGCCTACGGCCACACCCCCTACTCCTCCTACAGCGAGGCCTGGCGCTTCCCCAACTCCAGCTTGCTGAGTAAGTCCCCGGGGCCGCCCAGGCCCTCTGCGTGCAGGGCAGGTGGGGTACAAGGCTGCGCCAAAGTCATCTCAAACCTGGGAGGCCCAGGTTAGACCAGGGCCTGGGGAGACAGGTGTTACTCATATCTCGAGCGGGAAGGCAGTGTGCCAGGCTGTGGCCAGGTCTTTGGGGCAAGAAGGCAGGGCGGGGGTGGGGGGTGGGGGGTGGGGAGGGAGACTTCCCTGCCCATCTCTCTCCTGCTGCCCAAGGCCATGTCTCTGAGATCTTTCTTTTGAGGATCCAGGGCTCAGGGAGGGCCGGGCGGATTAAGGAGCCGCAGAGTGGATGCCCCGCCTTCGGGGGCTCACAGTCCAGCAGCACTAACACTGCTGGGCTGGCCACAGAGCTCCCGCTGCCCCTGCCTGGGAGCACGCCGATGGCACCGAGCGCTGCCCTGTTGCCCACATTAGGCATGGAGGTGGCTCACAGTGCTCAGCAGGCCCTGCACAGAAGTCCTCTGTTCCACCCAGTCCCGGAAGTTGGCTGGAGATGTGAAGCCTTAGAATCCAGGTCCAGAGAGTGACCTGCGGGCTGCTCCCCACCCCTCTCGCCCTCGGGCCTGTGCTGCGTGGAGAAGCTTTTCAGGAAACACGCCCCATAAGAGGGGAACTTGAGGAAACTCACTCAGTCTCCCTGAGTGATGACCTCGGACCAACCTGGGCCAGAGAGGGGCAGTGGTGCGAGCGTGGCTGACCCCATGGGCGTCATCGCAGGCCTGGCAGGGCGACCGTTCTCGAGACCCCCCTCTCCTCCCGTTACCTCCTGGCTTTCCAGAAGGGACTAGCGGGGGGTGGGGTGGGGGGGGGGGGTGGGTATCAGATGATTCAACTCTGCTCAGTTTAGCCAGAGGGGCTAAGGGCCAGTCACCTTCCCACAGAGCCTCCCCATGGAGGTCCCCCAAAACGCACAGCCCCCATTGACCTGTCAGAGGTTTTGTTGTTGTTAATCCTCACCCGAGGACCTTCTCCCTATTGATTTTGATGTGAGAGAGACAATGGTTGGTTGCCTCCCACATACTCCCTGACTGGGGCAGGGAATCGAACCTGCAACCCAGGCACGTGCCCTTGCCCAGGAAGTGAACCCACGGCCCTTTGGTGCCTGGACCGACGCTCTAACCACCGGGAAACATTGGCCAGGACAACCAGTCAAAATGTTTAATCCCTCCGATTTGGAAGAGGAAGATTCTATGGCCTCGCACAGTTTGGGCAAAGCTGGGGAGACCCTGATGATCCCCCGGTGTGCGTACCTGCTCTCTGTTGCTCTCTCTCCCTGAAACAAGGGCGTTGAAGGTCACAGTGATCATGGGGGGAGGGACAAGGAGCCACCTTCTCCTTCTGGCCAGAAACTCAAAGGTGAGGTCAGAGAAGGAGGAAACAGGCGGAGAGGAGTTAATCTTTGATGATCAGATAGGCCCGGGGGTAAATGATTAACCTGCGCTGTCTTAAAGGTTAGCAGATGCCAGGGCGGCTGCGGTGCAATTTCCCCCTCTGACCAGCCGTGTTGTTGTTATTTTTCTGACGTGTCCAGGTTCCCCATATTATTACAGTTCCACATCGAGGCCGAGCGCGCCGCCCACCACCGCCACGGCCTTTGACCACCTGTAGTCGCCATGGGGACAGTGGGAGCGAAGGAGCAGCAGGAGGACCGGGTCGGGGGCGCCCGCAGAGAGTCACAGAAAGGAATCTTTATTTATTACACGAAAACAATCACAAGTCCGCGCGCAGGTCGCACTCCTGTGTGGTTGACCTAATGAACCGTGAAAGACAGGATGACTTTGCAGAAGGCCAGACTGTCCTCCGGGATTCCTCCGTGAGGCGGAGTCCCAGGGAGGGACGTCGCACCCCGAAACACGCAAAACTGGAGGAATGCGGGGAGCAGAGGAGCAGCGAGCTTGAGGGGATGGCAGGCGGCCCACAGGGAGCTGAAGGGCCCAGGCGCCTCTGAGGCTCCGCCATCAACATGCGCTAGCCGTCGCTCCTGGGCTGTTAGCAGTTCCGTCAGGCCCACGCGTCGCAGCCCTGGGAAGGCTGTCCCCACAACCACCCTGAGGGTCACTCACAGAGCTGCCCCAGAGTTGAGGCTCCTGCTGTCCACCTCCCCGACCCAGCCTGCTTGGCTCCGCCTGCACCTCCCCCTGGGCCACGGGCTGAGAGCCTGAGAGCTGGGCCCAGTCAACCCAAAGCTCCACTGGCGGTCCAGGGGCCCTCCTCTGCCTGCTCTGTGATGCACCAGCGCCCCAGCTTCTCCTCCTGCAGCTCGTCCCCGAGACCAGCCTCTGACAGCTGGACACAGACTTTCCAAAGGGCCCAGCGCAGGGCAGGCAGAGCTGCTGGAGACCCGTGTCCCTCCCATCAGCCCTGCCTCGGCCCAAGCCCCCCACACCCCACAGCCGAGGAGGCCTGCTGCCACCCCAGCCAGCCACGCAGGCTCCCTCTGCACCTGCCGCTCCCGCCCAAGGCCTGACTGTAAATACTGTACATGCAGCTCTGATGGGCGCCGCTCCCTCTGTCCACCCAGACTGTGGCCTCTCAGTGAAGTGTCTCCCTGCCATGTTGGGCTTCTCTCCCCGATGCTTCTTTCTTTTTTAAAGACGCCACTATTGCCACTCGACTCAATAAACCATTACTCCGTTCCAGGCTTCGGGGCTGACTGGGAGGCATGGGGAGGGGGTGGGCTTTGTCCAGAGAACCTCAGGCCCAGTGGACACTCACTTTGGGGACTGGGGTGCCCAGGAGGCCTGACTTAGGTTCTCCCTCTGCCCTAACATGTTTCAGGACAGGCACAACACCCATCCCACACTTTAACGTCTTCAGCTCCAAGTACCTGCGAGAATAAAACAAGCACACGGCCCGGCCAGGGCCGGTGGTAGATGCCCCACAAGTGGTTGCTGTTGTTAACAGAAGCCAGTGTCGCGGGGAAGCTGGCGGCTGACCCAGGAAGGGCTGCGCACAGAAGCAGCCTGTGACCCTGTGGTATGAGGGAGCGGGGAGGGGGGGGGGCGGGGAAGGGGAGTGAGCAGACATCTACTGGGCTCTGCTGTGCCAGGCACAGGGAGGAGGCCTCCCATCAGTGAAGGTGGGGTTAGCCCCATTGTACATGTGGGCAAACTGAGGCTCAGGAAGAATGAAATCCAAGCGTGGAGGCAGTGGGCTCAGTCAGGTTCTCTTACCGTAAGTCCAGCAAGTTCACCCAACACCATAGAGCCCTGCCTGGTGCTGGAGGGACCTAGATGCAGGGCGCCATGGAGAGGCACAGGGTGGCAGTGCCAACAAGTAGGGAGGGAGCCCGCAGGGACAACCTCTTTCTAAGATACGTTAGAGAACAAGGGGGCACATACCATGGTGGCTGCAGGGGCTCTGTCCCAACAGGGTGCTTGGTCCCCCAGGGGCTGTCTGCTGTCCACAGGGACCCTCTCCAATTGACCCTGGAAAGAGAGGCAGGGCTGTATGGTGAACTTGATGGCTGCAAGGACAGCACCTGAGGCTGAGTCAGATGGAAGAGGATTCCAACCCCCCTTCTCCCCCCCCCCCCGCCCCCCGCCCCCTGCACACACACTCAGCATCCAGGGACTCCAGCCTGGGAGGGCAAGGGCTGGGAGACAGGAGAGGCCAAGATGCTCACCAAGAACGAGGACATCAGGAAGCCAAGGGCCAGGGGACGTTCCCATGGGAATAACTGGTCCCCATCTCTTCCCGGAGGTTTGAGATGAGGCTCGTCCTCAATAACGGCTTCCCTCTGGCCACGAGCCTGGTGGGGGGACCAAGCCCTGTATCCCTGAGACTCCTGGTGACCCTGAAACGCTGGGGTCCTGAGGCCCTAAGGCAGGTCCCACCTGGTTCTGGGGCCACAGTGAACCCTCACCCAGGAATCACTGTGGGGTGCATGGCACCCAGGGAGCCTGCAGAGCGATCCAAACACCAGTGCCCTGGCCAGCTCTCTCCCACCCCGAGTGGCAAAGGGGCTTGGCTGTGCTTGTGCCATGGTGACTGAGCCACCCTTCCTCTTTCTGAGGCCACCTGGGCGCCCAGGACACTGCTCTGAGGTGCCGGTGAGTGTGGCTGGGCCAGGTGTGCAGGCCAGATATTCCCTCCGTGGTCAAACCGTGCAGCCAGTGATGTCCTGGGGGAGAAAGACGACTTGAAGTGCTGCTGGGAGAAGCTGGAACGTGAGGGCAGTAGAGAAGGATGCGAGGAGAAGGTGAGGAGGGCAGGGGGGCGCAGGGCGGAGTTGGAAGCCACCTGATGGGGCCTGTGTGTGGAGGGCGGGGACGCATCACAGCGGCCCGAGGGAGGGGCTGGCTGACTGTGTGGCACCGCCGGGCCCTGGTTCTCCGAAGGCCTGTCTGAGCAGGGTGTTGGCAGGAGAATTGGGGGAACAGCATGGGCCCGAGGCATCCCCGCGGCAGGGAGGGCCCACCTCGCCTGCCCCTGCACACGGGAGCAGCCCCTCTCGGCTGTGGACAGGCCCCTCTGCTTTGAGGCCACTCGCCCTGGTCCCTCATGCTCCCCATTCCCTCCTCAGGGCCCTGTCCTCCCTGTACCAGCTGGGCCAGGCCGGCCTGCAGCCCACAGAGGCCCCGGTGGGGAAGGCAGCCCCTGCTGAGTGGGAGACAGAGCAGCTCAAAGGCCCCCTGGGCCACAAGGAGGGGCAGAGCCCATCTTCCCACGGTGGCTGGAGCTGCTGAGACCCTCTGTCCTGCAGGCTGGGGACGGGGCAGTTGGGCTTCCTGCCTCCAT